GCCAGTAGGTGTCAACTATGGGACAGTTGCCTTTTCCAATTATAATATAAAACCAATGCCAGGCCTCCGGATTAATGGGCTCACCGGCTGTCCCTAAAAGCTTAAGTGAACTTAATTTATATTTTTGAACGTATTTGTCGCCAAACTTCATGAGCGATCGGATGACTGTCGGCGCCGTATAAAAGGTGTTGACCCGCAGGTCGTCTATTAATTGCCACAATCTGTCGGGGTTTGGGTGGAAAGGCGTTCCCTCGAGCAGTACGACTGTAGCGCCATTGGCCAGTGCGCCATAAACGCTAGCCGTATGTCCGGTAATCCATCCCAAGTCTGCCGTACAGAAGAAGACGTCCCCATCGGTGTGATTGAAGACATACTTGAATGTCGTGGCCGTGTATATCATGTAACCACCGGTGCTGTGGACCACACCTTTTGGCTGTCCAGTGCTACCACTTGTGTATAGTATGAAAAGCGGGTGCTCAGTGTCCAGCCATACCGGTGCGCAGTAATCATCAGCCATTTCCATGGCCTCGTGCCACCAGATATCGACCATAGGATCCCATTTGATTAGTAAATGTGAACAATTGTTATTCATTTCACCCTGGTAGTTTATTTCCAAGTGCCGTTTTACAATGCAAGCTCTAATGCTATGTCCACTGCATTAAAACAAAGTTAGCAAGCTTTTTAAAAATATCATTATTTTTTGTTGTCTATTAGTAATACCTTTTATTACATAAAGTTATGGCTAAATCTGCTATACCTTTTAATGGTATAAATTTAGTACCCCGGTACGCTCGGTCACATGTAATGAGCATGACACAATTTGCATCTCTTATGCGATCAGCTAAGGCTTCAGCCGAGAATCCAGCAAACTTTTTAAAAATATATATTTTCTATTAATTTATTGTACCGTATATTTAAAATTAAACTAGGTCATATTTTATTAAATTTTATTAACCACTCACCACAACGGTATGTATGACCCCTATGCGAGCGCAGCCTAACATTGCGGTCACCAATTCAATAGAGTTTGGCATATATATGGCGATTGTGTCGCCCATTTGAATGCCCATTGATTTGAGGACATTTGCAAATTTACATACTTCCCGCAATAAATTATGATAATTTATTTGTCGTCTAGTATTTGGTTCATTTCCCTCCCTATGACACAAGATTTATCTAGTTAAAATTCTGAATGTTAAATGTAAAGTTTTTATATCATATACAAACCAATAATAGGCAATGTGATGACCAAGACCTTTATTAATATTCCTGTCCAGTATATTGTAGCACACGTTTGTCAGTGCGCCCTCCATAAATTTAATTGAAATAGGTCCTTTCAAAATGTCAAAGTTGAATTTTAAAACACTTTGTTCGCTATATTTAAAAACAAAATCCTTTGCCATGTCCGACCAATAACTTGCAGGATCATTAATAGATTTCTTATACATTTGTCCATATTGTTTATATGGAATAAATTTTTTA